CCCACTGCTGAAGTTTCAGGAAGGAAGCACGTCTGAGAGTGTGCACATGCATGGGCTTTGCTAATGTGTATAGAGCATCTGTGCCTCCCTGCTGGTTTCTGTCTGAATTGGGCTGAGCCAGGACTCATCTGCCTATGTTGTGAGGTTAAATAGGCTCAAACTCTTCTCTGGTACCATGTGCATTGCCTCACCCATTTCTATGCGCATGCCTTGTGAAAACAAGTGACGGTCTCAGAAAAACACTTTTGTTTGCCATTCACACTCCTGCAACTGCTTCCTCACTGGCGATTCTTCTGAGGTTATATTTGCAAAATTTGAGGTGTGGGTACTGGCCCGAAAAGTATCTGAAATTGTGGTTAAAAACCCCCTAAACATAAATCCATAGGGATACAGTTTGATTGTCCAGCTCAGACTCAGTCATGCAAAATATGAGCACATCTCAGGAGGAGCAGAATGCCACCACTGTCATTAAAGCAGTCTGCTCTGATTTTAGCCAGAGCCCTGCTTGGGTTCGTTTGGAAACTACAGCTATGGTTCCTGGAAGGGGGCTGAAGGCATAGTAATTATGCTGCTGTCGAATTAGTTTGAAATATTTTGACACAAATGCAAGTTGAATCTAAATGAACATCTCCATCTCAATGAATTTACTGAGCTTTAAGCAGAAAGCTGTTAGTTTTTATGTTGGCCTACTGACAACGGGGAGTGGAATTCCATTTGCTTTTGCTGTTGCTGTTAGTCCTTGACTGCGAGCAAAGAGCACCCAAAAAGCAAGTTAACCGACACATTTTGCATTTCTTCCATTGTCTTCAAAACTGCCGTGGGTATGAATGTACTTAATAATCAATCTGGAAGAAGTTTCATCTCATGATGGCTATCCATATTACTGAAGTATTCTATTCAGCTTAATGCTGCCATGAATTATATCCAGGATGCTTGCAATGTCTTATCTCCAGTCCTCATTAGGTTTTTTTAACTGCTTGGATTCCTGTATAAAGCCTGAAGTCAGGAACATGACATCATTCTACCCAATTTAGGTGCAATAATCATATGGTCAGCATGTTCAGAAGATGTCTTGTGGGACATTAGTTTGAAATTTTGTATCTGAGGGAGGGGTTGTGTTTGAGCCTTAGTAGCTTTTAACTGTCTTACATTTAAGCTGCTCAGGCCAGTCCTCAGGAGTCCCAGACTTTGCGGGCAACAGAGAAAGTCTGGAGGAAGCAAGACTTATGAGGAACAAGTTAGAGATCACTTAGGTAAACTGGATATCCACAAGTCCATGGGGCCTGATGGGATGCACCCGCAAGTGCTGAGGGAGCTGAGGGAAGTCATTGCTGGGCCGCTCTCCAGCATCTTTGAAAGGTCCTGGAGAACAGGTGAGGTGCCTGAGGATTGGAGGAAAGCCAACGTCACTCCAGTCTTCAAAAAGGGCAAGAAGGATGACCCGGGAAGCTACAGGTGGGTCAGCCTCACCTCCATCCCTGGAAAGATGATGGAGCAGCTTGTTCTGGGTGTCATCTCAAAGCATCCAGATGAAAAGGTTATCAGAAGTAGTCAACATGGATTCACCAATCTAATCTTATAGCCTGACTAATCTTATAGCCTTCTATGATGGATGGATGAGGGGAGAGCAGTGGATGTTGTCGACCTTGACTTCAGCAAGGCTTTCGACACCATCTCCCACATCATACTCACAGGCAAGCTTAGGAGGTGTGGGTTAGATGAATGGACAGTGCGGTGGATTGAACAGTGGTTGACAGATAGAGCTCAGAGGGTTGTGGTTAATGGTGCAGAGTCTAGTTGGAGGTCAGTAACAAGTGGTGTCCCTCAGGAGTCAGTATTGGGTCCAGTCCTGTTCAATATATTCATCAATGACCTGGATGAAGGGATAGAGTGTACCATCAGCAAGTTTGCTGATGACACAAAACTGGGAGGAGTGGCTGACACGCCAGAAGGCTGCGCTGCTTTACAGCGTGATCTGGACAGGCTGGAGGGTTGGGCAGAGAGAAACCTTATGAAATTCAACAATGGCTGACCATAAGCCAGCAATGTGCCCTGGTGGCCAAGAAGGCAAATGGCATGCTGGGGTGCATCAAGAAGAGTGTGGCCAGCAGGTCGAGGGAGGTCATCCTCCCCCTCTACTCTGCCCTGGTGAGGCCCCATCTGGAGTACTATGTCCAATTCTGGGCTCCTCAGTTCAACAAGGGCAGGGAACTGGTGGAGAGGGCACAGCAAAGGGCTACGAAGATGATTAGGGGATTGGAGCCTCTCTTATGAGGAAAGGCTGAGGGACTTGGGTCTTTGTCATCTGGAGGAATGAAGACTGAGGGCAGATCTTATCAATGCTTATAAATCCTTAAAGGGAGGGTGCCAGGAGGATGGGAACAGTCTTTTTTCAGTGGTGCCCAGTGACAGGGCAAGAGGTAACGCGCACAAACTTGAACATAGGAAGTTCCATCTAAACACGAGGAGGAACTTCTTTACTCTGAGGGTGGCAGAGCACTGGAACAGGCTGCCCAGAGAGGTTGTGGAGTCTCCCACACTGGAGACATTCAAAACCTGCCTGGACGCCATCCTGTGCAACCTGCTGTAGGTGACCCTGCTCTGGCAGGGCAGTTGGCCTAGATGATCTCCAGAGGTCCCTTCCAACCCTGACTGTTCTGTGATTCTGTGATTCTATAAGCTATTTGAAAGTCTGGTGAGCTTCTTGTGATGTGTTTGTTACTGGAGTTCTTTATTAATGTAAAGGCAAACTACTTTAATTTTTCTAAAATTCAGTCATAAATAGAAAAAAGGTTAGTCTGACACAAACTCTTCAACTGAATGGGTTTGCAGCAAAACCATTGCTTCTAGACAGGCTTTGCAAAAATGTGATTAACTATGAAAATTCAGAAAGTGCAGCAGATAGTTTGTTACTCACAAACCAATTTCTTGCCTTTGCTGGAATAAAATGAAATAGTTCTGGGTTGTATTCTGGTGCTTTTTGTATTGCTTGAGATTACCAAGTTTTCTTCCCCAAGTGGTATCTCTTTAGATTTTGTTCAACACTTCTTCCACATCTGTTGTTAATTAAATATGATAGACTACAAATTACTGGTGGGGTGTTCCCTGGAGTACTGCACACATCTCTGGCCATCTGTGGTGAGCACTGAAGTAGCTGTGCTGGTGGTATGATCCTTCCTACATCATCCCGTTCCTACTCAAAGAAGTTGAAGAGGTTGGCTTGTTTAAAATAGGCTATAGGGGTCATAATTGCTTTCTCCAAGGTCATTCAAAACAAAAGGAGAGAGAAAAAGGAAAGAGTCGTTTACTTTAAATGAACAGAATTGATGGCACAAAGTAAGTGCCTCGTTTTACCACAAAAAACTGTCTGCTGAAAATCTGTGAAAGAATTTGTAACAGTCTGAATGTGAGAGTCTGCATCTGCCTTCAAATAGAAGCCATAAAGGCAGAACACACGTTCCTTTTGAGCTGAGTAACGAGATGCGGATACTCATGGAGATGGAAGTTGAACTTAGTGACTTGTGATTTCAAAGGGTATCCTAGAATGCTTTCATATTCTTTTTTTTTTTTTTTTAAGTGTCCAAAGTGCTTTACAATATAAATGCTACAATGCAAAATACATATGTTGGGCAAGATAGGAGGTGAGAACAAAAAAGAAATTTAAAAATTGCAATCAAAGGAGAAGTGATGGGTCAGAAATTTTCTGCTACAATTCCTTGCTTCTCAGAGGAATCTTTCCTGGCTGCCTGCTACCTTGCCTTGTCCACTCATTGTATAGATTATCTTTATTATGAAATGAGATTTATTTGTCTAGTGATACCTGTTAAAACACCCAGTGGAGCTTGCTTCCATGTATCTGCAGTGTGCACTAGCTCTTGATTCTGAAAACTACATGGCAGTAATTTTATTCCCCCACTTTTAGGCAAGAGGGTAAGCTCATGTTGTCAGCTTTGTAACGCACAAATTGTGCAGCTCCTAAATGATGGGGTAGCTGAAATCATGGTTGTAATCTGTGTACCTGTAGCTGAATAATATATACGTCACCAGTGCCCTGTACTCAGCTTAATGCTTTAGCAAGCCTGTTTAACAAGGATGAATTTAAATGACAGATTCAAATTTCTCACTCAGCAAACAAGATGCTGGTTTCTCTTGGCTAATGTTCATCCATACATTGTTTCCTTGTCTCTGCAGCTTCCTATTGTTGAAAAAATAAGGATCATTGCTCAGAAGGTGTATGGAGCTCAGGATATAGAGTTGTCTCCTGCTGCACAGTCACAAGTTGATCGCTACACCCGTCAGGTAAGAACACCAGTGAATTATGTGGTCAGGTACGTGCTGGATGAGAGTCTTAGGAAACCTTGGGGTGTAAAAGGTTCTCAGATTGGAGTGTTTAGTCAAGCTTTGCTAAGAGGTGTGAGCTTACCCGTGGTGCTAACCTGTGGAGGTCAGTATGGATTGGATTAGATTAGATAGAACAGAATGGTTTTAACCTTGAAAGCTATCTCCTGTAAGATATGTATAGTGTTTGGAATCATTCTGAGATTGTTCCTGAAACTCTGTACTTTCTATGCAGAGTGGTAATTTTGGCTTGCTGCCTTAAACGTGACAACTGTACATCTGCAAAAGTAGCAGCTAGTGAATGTGACTGATTTTAGCATGAGTGTTCATTTGTACCTGCAAAAAAAATGTTTTCAAGCACAAAAAGACGTATGCGCAGCTATACACTTTAATAACAAAGCTCCCAATACTTGTAAAATCTTTCAGTTTCCTGTTATTCATATTATTTTCAAAGGGTTATAAATGCTACAAGGTAAAATAGATCACCATTCCTCAAGCATGTGGGAATGGGCTTGGTTACATTTTGAAAACAGTTTTGAAACCATGTAGAAATGTGACTGTATTTTATGTAATGCGACGGCTTCTGTGCGTAAACATGGCTGGAGCCTTTCTGTCAGAAAATCGAAACTGTGGACAATGGCCATGGAAAAATTCCTGAGTATAGTTCAGCAGCCTGGTCAGACAGGCAGAAGTATAGCCATTTTCTCTATAATGCAAATCTCCTGAGAATTAATTTGATTTTCTAGATGGAAAAGAAGCTTACTTAGTGTACTTGAAGCAAAACAATCCATGTCTTTATCTTATCCCGCTGTGATTCTCTAATCCATTTTTTAGTCTAAACATCAGCAGTATTAGGAAATATTTTCACAATGTCATTAAAGGATTGTTGTCTGTGCTGGGCTACAGAGGCAATTCCCTGCAGTGCCGCCTCTCCTCCTGGCCTTGTGAATTGCATCCCTGTTTATCAATGAATTGAACAAAAGAGTGGAAGGTGCCTGACTCAAGGTTAATCAATAACCTGGAAGACAAATAGTGTGTGAGGAGCTGCTGAGGGCCTTTCCCTGATTTTTCTCCCACTTCTTAAGTAACTACTGCACTGTCGTTAGTGAAATGGGTGCCATCACCTCATGCAGTTTTTGTCTTGTTTAAAAACAAAGCAAAGTATCATGAACCACTACTGTTTACCCCAAAAAAGACATTAGTACCCTTAGAGAGTTTTGTACTATGAATCCTGGTCTCAAGTGGGTATCTAACTCAGTCATTAGAGCCCAGAGGGAAGTGCTGTACTGGAGTTTGATTGAGCTGATGTAGGTTTCTTGTTCAGTGTGGTACCCATTGTGCAACCTTTCTGAAAACAGCACACTTTAGCTATTGTATAGGCAACTTTTGCACCTAACCCTAGATTGAGAACCCACCCTAGAAATGTGTATCGCTACAGCCAAGTCTCTCAAGATACAGGCCTGAGCTGCAAGAGAATAGCCTTTAAAATACAGTATTCTGTCCATTTCTGAAACATTAGCTGTTAAGAAACTGAAGTTAACTATTGCTATATGGATTTTAGGATTTCTAGAAGATACTGATAACAAAGTGAAATTATATTCTGTCTTTACTGTAATCTTAATAACATTTTTCTTTTATTTGCTTTCCCTTTTCTGTTAGGGGTTTGGAAATCTTCCCATTTGTATGGCAAAAACTCACCTATCCCTCTCCCATCAGCCTGAGAGGAAGGGCGTTCCCACTGGTTTCATTTTGCCGATTAGTGATGTGCGAGCCAGTATTGGAGCTGGATTCATCTACCCTTTGGTAGGAACGGTGAGTGCAGAGTATTCAACTTGATCACTCCCCTTCCTTTGACCCAGCTTGACAGGGAAGTGCATTTCCTGTTTGCCTCTAAAAATAATGTGTAGAACCAGGTGAGTTCTTGGTTTTTTATAAAAATTTTATCCTCACACTTTTTGTAGCTCTGCATTGATAGGAAAAGAGAATTAGGAACATGTAATACCATCTAAGAGCTTTGACTACAGTATCTGAGAGAATGACTCTTGGCACTGGTTCTGTTTCTGATGTTTTTCAGTTAGTCTAGGATATTTTGGCACCCTAATGCTGCAGAAAAATGAATTTACATGTCCATTGCCTTTCCTTATTTGAATTGCAGCCTGTAAATAACTGCAGTTACATTATTATATTCTAAATGTTAAATCTTTCATCCATCACTACAAAGCATTCTGTAACATATTTAGATGAAAGGAATTGTGTTAGGAAAAATTGTATAATTAAAATTATTGCTTTTCAGCTGTTGAGCCTGATCTAGTCCCAGTCGTTGTGAACACCTCTGCTGGTTCTGTAAAACTAACTTATGGTGGGAAGGGATGGATTTCTTACTGCAGAAGTAGCAGCACATTCATTCTCCTTTTTATGGATTTAGACAATGAGGAGCTAAAAGGAGGCAATTGTCATCCTTTCTTCCTACCTGTCCTTAAAAGTGCAGGCTTAGATTAGGAAGCTCCTGGTATTTTCTTCGCTGGCATGCTTCATTAAAGTAGCTGAGAAGCTAGTTAGCTTATGCCTTTTGCCAACCACGCACACCTTATTCCGAACAGTAGTTGAACTGTGTCTGACATCTCATAGCATGAATTATTACTTATATGTAGCTGATTCATGGAATGGTGCTAGAGAAGGGATGCAAAAGCCATTGCATTTCCGGAAAGAGTACTCTCCCAATGTTATCTCATCTTCCCAGAGCACGGCCTGATTTCCTTGTGTAGCGGTACACTTAGGAAAGGTTGAAAGTTTCTAATCTATTGTTTTGAATTCCCTCTGAAACAATCAAGTGTTTGAAACAAGGAAGGAAGTACTTTCTGACCAGGAGAGTTCCTGGAGTTCAGGAAACTGTGTCACTTCAGCTCAGTGGACTTGAGGATATGCTTTCCTTCTCATGGCCATGTTATGTGCATCCACCAGAAGTGGAACACAGCTGTGTATTTAAATTGTGTAAGACCAAATTCCAATTACTGGTGACAGGATAGAATTTGTCAGAAGTTCTAATGTCTCCTTCATGGCCTGGCTTCAAGTTTGCACTGGAAGTTGTGTGTCATAAAGTTGTGAGAAGGACTGAACGTGAAGAATGGGCAGCAACTCCTTCAAATCCATGAGGGAGCTATCCTGTAGGATGTCAGAGTGGAATGTTCTTGGGTTGAGCTTTCTGAATGAGTCACACTCTGCACGCTTCAACACAAACTAGTTGCAGTTCAGCCTCATAAATCCATAGGAACTGTCCATAGGAGCAGTATAGACCAAACAAGTTCAAGGATTACCTCTCATTTTCGATTTCCGCCTAGAACCAAAAAATATGGTTCTTATGAAGGACATGTTATATATGGGATTTCTTATTGGGGGAGAGTGTAAAAATATGTCCAAGTTAGTTACCCTGGCTTTGCTGAGAGGTAGCATAGCCATGGAACTTTTCCCATATCAGGAACTGGGTAGGCAGTATACTCTTAGTGTTATGTATTCCAAGAGAGTTGTAGGCCAAAGTACTGTATAAACATAAGATCCCCAAGAGCTAAAAATCTAAACAGACAGACATCGATCATTGGTTGTTCGGAAAATATTGCTAATGCTCAGGAATGTGGGACAGAACACTCCTTGGAACTATCACAATTGCTACGAATCAAAATGAATGAATGAATATAAATGTATTCCTGACATCCTTACTATACAATTCTTTCTCTAGAGTTAAATTTATGGCAAGAGGTCCAACTTGCTGCCTTTCAGAATTGACATTTGTGATCATCAGGAAACAAACTCTCATAATAGAGTTGGACCGCTACTTTTGAGATCACTTTTCTATTTTGCCACCTTCAGATTTTTAGTGTGCGTTGCTGTCAGCAATTAAGTCTTAGGGCTAATGGTACTTTTTAAATTGTGCAAGAAAATATATTTGAAGTCAGGTTCCAAAACTGGAAGTCTTCCTTTGACAGTTCTCTTACTAATAAAGCTATTCAAAAATGTCTACAAGAACAAAGCAAGCATAAAAGGGCATGTCCTGAAGGCTTGAAGTGGCTGGAGGTCAGATGCTATGAGTAAAGGGATTACAGAAATCCTGGTGACAGCATATGGTGAAAGCATTCAGTCATGACAGTGGATTAGATTTCTTTATATCGCAAAAAAAGGAGGAGCAGTATATATATTTTTTTTTTCATTACTTGCTGGCTACGGAAGAGGATCCTTAACACCTAAGCTGGTTAGAGCCTTCTTACAGCTAAGACCTTTGTGATGGCAGAATAAATGCTATTGGACAACACGTTCATTAAAGTTTTAGTGGTAATTCTGATACTAATTGAATATCAAACTTCATTCTCAAAGCAGATTTTTTATTGGACGAGCTCCTCTCATTCTAACCTGGCAGAACTTATCAGTAGTAAAACAGGTTGTTAGACTTCTGCTCCAATTTAATTGGGAAGAGCATTACAAATGAAAGAGATAAGTACTGCTGAAAGATAATAAACTATCTGCAGTAAATACCATTTATAGTTTAACCTTGTCATTAGCCCATGTAAATTAATGAGATTTGTATTTACACCAGCACTGATAGGCAATCATTGTTTTTTTTAAACTAAATATTAAACATGTTGTCTTCATATTCTCGAAGCAGTATTTGTTTTGTGTTATGGTTGGCTCTGGTTCCCTTACAGCATGGAAGTCTTTCCAGGAAAAATGAGTTGAGCCTTATCGGAGGAAATCAGCAGTGAAACAAGAGGTGCATTTAATTAACGCTGGCACAGCTTTTATCCAAGTTCTCTGTGACCATGACCCAGAGGGCTACATCACTCACACAGGTGGACTGTTGACATCATTGCTTGGCTCAACAGAGTGATGGCAGGAAGGCTGCTGGAGTATATGTAGGAAACCAGTGAGGTCATTCACTAGCAATGCTTGGGTGGAGAATTATTAGATTTTTGTAGTATGCGTGTTTCTCTCCACCCCCACCCAAAAAGCCATTGCAGTTTGGTGCTTTCTCACATTCAGCCACGTTTCTATTACTCTTTCTCTTTCACGTGATGTGCAAGAATGCAGGCTGATCATAGAAGTAAAACCTGTTGTCTTGCCTTTGTGAAGTGATGCTACCAAATCACTGGTGCAAGTAATAAAGCTGTGTTTGAATCACAGTGAACTTTTTACATATGTACTACCCTTTTCCAGCCATGCGCTTTTGTTTTAATGGGTTAAAATTACAGACAAGGTCCCTCTGAAAATATATGGAGCCTTTGGAGCCATGCCAGCTCCCAAATTCTCACAATGAACCATCATCCTTCAGATATCGACATATCTGAAGAAAGGTCGGTCTATTACAGCAATATTATTTTTCTCCCCATAGAGAAAGCAGTTCAAGTCTCTGGAACTAGTTCTGAAACTATATCCTCTGGGAAGGAACTCTTGGGGTGACCCAGTGTGGTTTGAAACCAGTTTATAGAGTCAATAAAGCCCTAATTCGCTTGTAGGTGAGAGCCAGGACTGTCCTGCTAAAATATTACCCGAATAATGTAAGGGAGAAAAGACCCTGAAAGTCAATATTTTTATGAATACTTTTAGAAGAAAAATATTGTTCTCTGTTGAATGAATTTCTTCATTCACAGTGGTTGAGTTTTGAGGGTGTCCATTGAATATAAGCTGGAGTCCAGACCCACCGGGAGTGAAATTGTAGTTTCCTGGTGGTGCACGAGGCTCAGGTTGTCTCCAAACTGTCATTTTGTCACTTCTCTCAGGCTCTGTTATGGGACAGTTGAATAATTATTGGTGGATTGCCCAACTTATCGTAACAATCTGTGTAACATAGGGTGATTTATATCTGCCTTGCAAAGCATTTAGCTTACAATGCAATTTTATATCATTTACAAAGGAGCAGTGCTATGCTAAGTATTCTGACCTCTCTCAGTCCAAAAAATGTCCGTGGTGATGTGGCATTTGGCACCTGCGGCTGGTGTTGTATAGTTGCTGTGTTGTAGCAGTGCTCAGAAGTCTGCAAACAGCTAGCTGTAAAAATACTAGGTGCTCATAGACTCTGCAGACTGCTTTTGAGATATCTGCAGTAAGTGTGGAAAAAGTAACAGAAAATGAAAGCTATGAAGTTAAACTCACATGGGAAATGTAGGTTAGCAGTTGTGTAGTTCTGAACTGAAGAATGCTAGCAGGAAAAGAAAAGCCCACGCTCTCCTCTGTTAGATGATGTGCCTTTGCATTTATTGCAGTGGGTGTAATTCCTCTCGCAGAAGAGGGAGAGGGTTGGGGTTTTTTTAATTACAGAGGGCACATCATATCTGAACAGTGACCAGGCGTGCACATGCGGAAATGCTGAATGATGTTGCACTTGGTGGCAGGCTGATGAATCATTCAGGGTAGGGTTGTCGGGGCAGGGGGTGAGCGCATAGGTAAGATCAATGGCTGGAAGTGAAGGTGAGGACAGTCATCTTCAGTTCATTGTGTTTAAAAGCTAGAGGCTGAGAGGTGGTTAATGTAATAACAGCAAATCCACCCGTGTTCCTTGGTGGATGACATGATGTGCCTGTGGCGGCATTGGGTTGGCCAGAGAGGCCAACTCTGTATGAGGCAGAAATAGGCACAAGTGAATGATTTAGCTGAAGGGATGAGGAAAAAGTAGATTGTAATGAAAAGGGGTATGTGATAGCCTTTGGAAACATCCCAGGTGTGTGGACTATGAGGCAGTTACGATTCAAGCACGATTATCGCCATTTTTGGTGAGAAGATGGGAATAGAAGTTTGAGGGGAGGATTGGAAAGATGGGGTTGACTGGA